GAAATGAAAGTTGTGGAACCGAGGCGAGCGAGTCTGCACATTTGCTGTTTCATTCTTTCTCGGCCTTCGGTCTCAAGGGTTGTATGGACAAGGAATATGCGTGAATTTCGCTGAATGTCCTGTGCATGGCGATACACGTGAGCACAAAGGGAATTCCCTCGCATGTAATATTAGGATTCCTCGACATTCCCTAGTAATAAGAGCAGTCTGCTTCGGTGGGCGTGGTTTACTTTTTTACATTCATTGGGAAATGAATGCAATAACACGTGACCAATTCAGCTAATCAGAATGCAGTAATTTCAATGAACACAAGGAAAATTTAATTATTTAACCTTAAACACTACTTTAATTCCGGGACTACATATGAACTCCAGATGTTGCCAGCTGCAGTGCGTGGCTCAGTCAGTACAACTGTTGGTGTTCTGTTAAACAATGTGAAAATATAAAAATATCCTCCTACTGATGCAGGCTATGAATTTAGCAACTAATCCGAAGCCATGCTTAATGATTTAAATACATTGATTGCAAACCTGTTAACAAAATAATGTTTTTCTCCTAAACAGCATCTAAAACATATTCAACACTGAACTGAACTGAATTGAGAGGTTCCACTGTACAGATGTGTGAAAGTAGGCAACAGGTGAGCTGGATTAGAGAGGTTCCACTGTACAGATGTGTGAAAGTAGGCAACAGGTGAGCTGGATTAGAGAGGTTCCACTGTACAGATTGGTGAAAGTAGACAACAGCTGGGCTGGATTAGAGAGGTTCCACTGTACAGATGTGTGAAAGTAGGAAACGGGTAGGCTGGATTAGAGAGGTTCCACGGTACAGATGTGTGAAAGTATGCAACAGGTGGGCTGGATTAGAACGGTTCCACTATACAGATGTGTGAAAGTATGCAACAGGTGGGCTGGATTAGAGAGGTTCCACTGTACAGATGTGTGAAAGTATGCAACAAGTGGGCTGGATTAGAGAGGTTCCATTGTGCAGATGTGTGAAAGTAGGCAACAAGTGGGCTGGATTAGAGAGGTTCCACTGTACAGATGTGTGAAAGTAGGCAACAGGTGGGCTGGATTAGAGAGGTTCCACTGTACAGATGTGTGAAAGTATGCAACAGGTGGGCTGGATTAGAGAGGTTCCACTGTGCAGATGTGTGAAAGTAGGCAACAAGTGGGCTGGATTAGAGAGGTTCCACTGTACAGATGTGTGAAAGTAGGCAACAGGTGAGCTGGATTAGAGAGGTTACACTGTGCAGATGTGTGAAAGTAGGCAACAAGTGGGCTGGATTAGAGAGGTTCCACTGTACAGATGTGTGAAAGTAGGCAACAGGTGGGCTGGATTAGAGAGGTTCCACTGTACAGATGTGTGAAAGTAGGCAACAGGAGAGCTGGATTAGAGAGGTTCCACTGTAAAGGTGTGTGAAAGTAGGCAACAAGTGGGCTGGATTAGAGAGGTTCCACTGTACAGATGTGTGAAAGTAGGCAACAGGTGAGCTGGATTAGAGAGGTTCCACTGTGCAGATGTGTGAAAGTAGGCAACAAGTGGGCTGGATTAGAGAGGTTCCACTGTAAAGGTGTGTGAAAGTAGACAACAGGTTGGCTGGATAAGAGAAGTTCCACTGTACAGGTATGTGAAAGTAGACAACAGGTGGGCTGAATTAGAATGGTTCCACTGTACAGGTGTGAAAGCAGGCAACATGTGAGCTGGATTAGAGAGGTTCCACTGTACAGATGTGTGAAAGTAGGCAACAGCTGGGCTGGATTAGAGAGGTTCCACTGTAGAGATTAGTGAAAGTAGGCAACAGGTGAGCTGGATTAGAGAGGGTCCACTGTACAGATGTGTAAAAGTAGGCAACAGGTGAGCTGGATTAGAGAGGTTCCACTGTACAGATGTGTGAAAGTATGCAACAGGTGAGCTGGATTAGCGAGGTTCCACTGTACAGATGTGTGAAAGTAGGCAAAAGGTGAGCTGGATTAGAGAGGTTCCACTGTACAGATGTGTGAAAGTAGGCAACAGGTGAGCTTGATTAGCGAGGTTCCACTGTACAGATGTGTGAAAGTAGGCAAAAGGTGAGCTGGATTAGAGAGGTTCCACTGTACAGATGTGTGAAAGTAGGCAACAGGTGAGCTGGATTAGCGAGGTACCACTGTACAGATGTGTGAAAGTAGGCAACAGGTGGGCTGGATTAGAGAGGTTCCACTGTACAGATGTGTGAAAGTAGGCAACAGGTGAGCTGGATCAGCGAGGTTCCACTGTACAGATGTGTGAAAGTAGGCAAAAGGTGAGCTGGATTAGCGAGGTTCCACTGTACAGATGTGTGAAAGTAGGCAAAAGGTGAGCTGGATTAGAGAGGTTCCACTGTACAGATGTGTGAAAGTAGGCAACAGGTGAGCTGGATTAGCGAGGTTCCACTGTACAGATGTGTGAAAGTAGGCAACAGGTGAGCTGGATTAGAGAGGTTCCACTGTACAGATGTGTGAAAGTAGGCAATAGATGAGCTGGATTAGAGAGGTTCCACTGTACAGATGTGTGAAAGTAGGCAAAAGGTGAGCTGGATTAGAGAGGTTCCACTGTACAGATGTGTGAAAGTAGGCAACAGGTGAGCTGGATTAGCGAGGTTCCACTGTACAGATGTGTGAAAGTAGGCAACAGGTGAGCTGGATTAGAGAGGTTCCACTGTACAGATGTGTGAAAGTAGGCAATAGATGAGCTGGATTAGAGAGGTTCCACTGTACAGATGTGTGAAAGTAGGCAAAAGGTGAGCTGGATTAGAGAGGTTCCACTGTACAGATGTGTGAAAGTAGGCAAAAGGTGAGTCTACCAGTTGTTCAGTGGATCCCTGACCACTGTATTCAACTACTGGAAAAGGCAATGATCCTTCATTTAAACAATACAAATTCTGCAGAGTTCATATGAAAATAAGCGTATGACCATTTTAGTATTAAAAGAGTACCATGAAAATGACTCAATATACCGTGCTAACAAACGATTGTGATTCCCTGCTGTTGAGAACAGCTTATGTACGTGATCACGATGGCAGTTCATGCCAACCCAAGACAATGATGGCCGACCGTAGTAGTGAATGAATGAATGAGAGAGTATGGTTTTACACAGCTTGCAGCAATATTCCAGCAACATCATGGGAATGGATGGCATCAAACACTTTACCCATGTATGACAAGCTAACACCCTTACCGGTGGCCTAACCACACATCCCACCCCACTCTACCCCCACCCCTTCATTCATTAGAAAGTCGGCACCAAACAGACAATGGACAGTCATCATAGTTTTCAAACAAGTCGAGTGAGAGTGAGCGACTTGGGTTTAACGCCACTTTGAACAGTATTCCATTTATAACTTATACCACAGCATGTCAGCTGAATGTGGTTGGAAAGCCTGTGGTGATACAGGTCTCAGACGTTTAACACTTTGGTGAAACCCATGGGCACGGGTATGGTGCTGACAAACCTAGAAACATAATCGGGGAGAACCGGGATTCAAACCCACAATCATAGGTTTCTGGCATGTCCAAGGGACGCAACTCTACACAGCCAATTGCGGCACCTTAGATGACTGGGCTAACCATGCCACCTCCAGCAAGGGGAGATAAAGGACAACCATACACATTCTAACTCTAAAACCGCCTATCAGTGGGTATAAATGGGATCAACATTATTAGGAACAAACTGGCACATTGACTTAATTTTAATTTAAAAAATTGAAATATCAGCAGATTGTGGAAAAAAAGTAAAAAATGACAGGTCCAAGGTGTTTATTTCTGTGTTGAAACCAACAGGCAGTAGGCAGTCGAACCAAGAATCATAATCAGGGTGAATCTCGGATTCAAACTCATGACAAGCAGATCCTGGCACAGCAAAGGAACATAACCCTGCAGAGCAAATTGTTTGACTTTGATAGGGCACGAGTGGCCCTAAGGTGTCCAGTCATATTCTATGCAGAGAATGTATGCCCCACAGATTATTTAACAGATAACTGATCCCAAGCAACCAATGCTTATCGTAATCAGCGACTAGATGGACGGGTTGTTCGGGCCATGTGACTTGGTTCTTAGTGTCACAGAACCGAGACTACATGGGCTGCTCATTATATCAATCACTGGTTTGTCTGGTTTAACTATTGCTTCTTACAAGCTCGATGTAATGACAAACATCTTGCCAAAACAGTACCCACATTCATGCTGGCCCTTGCTGCCAATAGAGCCCTCCTTTACCTTCAGAGGGATTAATCTGAAGTTACCATGGTAACTGGACACACTGACGTTTTCATGCAGGGGTCCACAACAAATAACACACACATGCAGCATGCCAAACTCTCTACTCTAACAACATGCCAACAACCGAGGCTTGACTTAATTCATCTACGAAACTCACATCTAACATAACTTAGCTGACAAAGTCATATAAAACATACTGTCTTGATCTTTAATTGCTGAACATTTAATTAATCAAGTGCATGATAATTTGTTCACTAATCAATGTAAAACAGTTTGAATGGAAAACATGACAAAATATTCAAAAATAAAACTTTTCGAAAGAACCAACAGGATACAGCAGACAATCTTTCAATCAGTGGTTGATTTGTAGAGAAGATCAAGCTTCAAGGAGGGCTTCTAGCTTTGTTCATAACACATCTTAACTACAGTCTATATCAAGAGAGAAGAAAGCCACTTTATCAATAATATATATCAATTTTGTCAAGCCCTATGAAAGGTAAACAGCAAAAGATAAAGTGTTTTAAAAAAATATCAAATATTATTGCAGTTCTCTTTTTCATTATCAATCCAAAAGATCCAATTTCGTTTTTTACTGATGTAGATCATGTCAGCCTCGATGTAAGTCCTACATTGAGAACTTATGTAGTTTAATAATGAAATAAATCCAGCCTCTCACCATGCAAACAGACCACCATAGGAACATACAACAGTAAATGCTCCCCAGCCAACCTGACTACCCTCCCCAAGTTATTAAAACCAGCTTACCACATGGGTGACTCATGCTTCCTGAGCTGATGGGGGCATCTAGGGAGCTCCTGCCACGACTCTGGGAGCACCGGGTCGTCATAGCAACAGTTTTCAGTTTCTGGCCAAGTCCCGTCTTGGAGGCAATGGTTCCTGTAGGTCCTGAGAGAGTCCTTACCAAAGCCTTCATCAACATCCTGGCTTCTTCCTGTTTCCTAGCTCTGGCCTGAAGTCGGGGATCTCGGGAGTGTTTTCCACCGGACTGGGGAGTATTGGGTCCTGGTAAGCTCGGGGGGTCTGGTGTCTTTGGTGTGTCTGGAGTCTTTGGGGTCTCAGGAGTCCTAGAGACATCGGATTGTGGGGTGCTTGGAGGAACTGTGGAAGCAGTTTGGCTTGAACTAACAAGTTTGGCAGGGTCTTGAATTGGAAGAGCGTGTTTTGTTACTGGCTGGAAAACTTCTATCTTGGATTCTTCCATTGCCTCGATGTCCATTGGGGACCCGCTTGAGGAGCTGTATGGAGACGGGGCATCGTATTCATCACTGTCATAATCCTCATCTGGATTGACCACTGGCGACTTGGACACAGACTGGGACACATGCTTAGATACATGTTTTGGCACAGACCTTGAGGATTGTTTTGGCACTGCTTCTGCTAATTTGGACATGGATTTTCTTAAAACAGTCTTCAGCTGTCTTAGATATTTTGACTGAGAGGCTTGTTGGCTTTTCACTTTACATCCTGGATCTTTCACTAGTCTAGAGGAACTTGCTCTGGTAGCCTTCTGACTCGACTTCTTTGATATCGGGGCAGCGGTCAATGATGGAGATATTGGCTTACTATCATTGATGAGTGAGTGTTCCGGGGGAGGCACTGGCTGAGGGACTGGAGTGGGTAGGTAGCTACTTGAAGATGTAGTTGGGGAGTGGGGAGGTGGTGGTACTGGCAAGGGAATGATGCTGTGTAGGAGGTTACTGGAGAGGCCTTGTGAGGATGCCGTTGGGGACAGTATAGGAGGAGGAACAGGCTGAGGAACTGAGGTTGGTGAAAAAATACTCAACAGTCTTTGTGGTGATGTTGCTGGTAGTTCTTGAGGTGGAGGAACTGGCAAAGGCACATACATTGGCAGGATGTTGCCCGAAGGAGGGGACTGTTGAGGTGGTGGGACAGGTTTGGGCTGGGATGTTGGTAGAAATCCACTTGAAATTCCTGGAGGAGAGATTGGTGTTTGATGAGGTGGTTTGACAACTTGTGGGTGAGGAGACTGGAGAAATCCACTTGACAGACCTGGAGGTGATCTAATTGGTGACAGATTAGGTGGTGGAACTGGTTTGGGCTGTGAAGTCTGCAGATATCCACTCAATACTTGGGGTGATGTAATTGGTGATTGATGGGGAGATTGGACAGGTTTTGGCTGTGAAATCTGATGGGGTGATGGGATGGGTTTTGGCTGTGATGGTTGTAAAAATCCACTCAATAACGAAGTGGGTGATGTCATTGGCGACGGAACTGGCTGTGGTACAGGAGACTGTGATGTTAATGATAGTGACGAATCTCGGGACACGGAGGTCTGCTGCAAGCTACCGGACATGAATGAAGGAATAGGCGAGAGCTGCAGTAACGGGACAGGCAAAGGTAAGATTTCCTGTTGACAGTCACTGGATGATCTCGGGGAGATAGCTGCTGGTGAAAGCATTGGAGATGCAACAGCTTGGGTAACAGAGCATTCCGCAGGTACTGTTCCTGGTGAGGATTTTCGTACAGGGATTTTCATAGGCTCTGTCTCAAAAAATGAAACTTGAGCTTTAACAGTTGGCAACGGAGTAGGGGATGTAACTGGACAGATTTCAATCTGCTGAGAACTTCTGGCGGGCCTCGATGGTGAAGCTGGAGGCGACAGCTGAGCTGGTGGAACCCGTAGAGGAACCCTGTTCTGCTGAAGTTTAAATGAAACTTTATGAACAACGTTCTTTTGTAACTCTCCAGGTGACTGCGGAACTTCCGTTTGTAAAACTGACTTTGATGAAGAAAGATTAGCTTCACTTTTTGTCCCCTGTTGACCTTGAGAAAGTATTGACTGTTCCTCAGTCAGAACAGACTTAGGAGATGAACTCAACAAGAGGGTTCTGGAAAGTCTCTGTGAGGATGCACTTGGTGACTGTTGAGGAGAAGAAACGGCCAAACCTACAGAACCCTGCTTTATGTCTGGTGATCTCTTGTCCGCTGTTGGTGATGGTGGAACAGGTTGAGGCACTGAACTGTGCTTTGTGCAAGAGGAAGGACGTTCTGATGCACATCCTTGATCAGGTTCTAAACTCATCCAACTTGTGTCTTCCTCCAAGCTTATCGTCTGTTCATCATCTTCATCATCCAAATCCATGTCCACCTCTTCATGGTCTGAAAGGCACTCTGAAGTGGATACCCTTATGAGAGAGCTTCCTACTTTTGTCTTGGACTTCAATTCAGTGTTGGAAGCACTGACAGAACTAATCCCAGACTTGGATTCTGAAGAGGCACTGGATTTAACAATTACATCCTTCAACTCTACTACTTTATGAATCTGCTTAGCCTTTGCAGGCTTGACCCTCAGAGAGACTGGCAATTGAATGACCCGTGGTTTTAAATCAGTACTTTTAATTGGCGATGGTGTTGAGGACTTCGGCAGAGGAATATTCCAGATGTCTTGTTGTGTCAGTGCAGAAGAACCAGATGATTCATGAGTATCGTTTGGAGAGTTTTCATTCAAATGTTTCTTCGCCTCTGAAACAGGTATATCTTGTTCATCTCCACTGGGATTAGAGATTAGTTCATCATCACCAGGCTTAGAAGGGTTTGCCGATTTGGAATGTTTCTGAAGAATCTTGGAAGAGAGAGGTTCAGGTGACACCTGCTCAAAGGAGCTTGAAGTAGAAGGGGATGGTTTAACTACCTCTGTCAAAGATGTGGATTTCTTAAGAGGCGTGTATTCTTTAAGAGGCCTCCTCCTTGACTGCTGTACATCATTCCAAAAACTTTTCTTTGGAGAAGAAGCAGGAGGTCGAACCAATCGGATGATAGATGAGGCAGCAGTTAAGCCTTGCGGAAACACAGACTTCTTGCCTGGTGACATGATTTGGACCGATTCTCCTCCAGGCGATGTTTTCTTTTTAAGATCACTCTCAGAGTGGATGATCTGTGTTTTTGATGGTGAAATTGGAGTCTGCTTTAAGATTGTATTTTCGCCTACTGTCACTGGATTTGGTTCTTTCAGAAAAACAGTCCTGGTCATCCATGGTTGACATTTTGGGTCTGTAGCCCCATCGCTGTCAGTTCTGGAATTCCGAAAAGAAGGTTCATTACTTACTAAAGGTAGAGATTTACGATTTGGTTTGAGGTCAGTTTCTTCTTGGCCCAAACTATGTTTTCTAGGACTACCATCTTTTAGCTTGTAGTCTTTATGTTCTTGGAGACTCTCAGCACCTCCAGATAGTCCAACGCTAACCCCAGATTTGAGAGTTATCTGGAGACTTTGTGTAGCTTCAACTAAGCTCGAGGAGCTCTCATTGTCCTTGACTGCAGCTTTTCTGGCTTCAAGAACCAATCGCCAAGCAGCCGCCTTCTTTCGTTCTTGCTCCTTCCTTAATGCTTGCTCTTTTGCATTCATCTTTGACCTGTAATTGAATCGGTCATAAAACTGTATCTTACTCCTAGCAGCAGACACAGATCGACTTCTGCTTCTGTGTGAATCAGACAATGAACTAAACACATGTCTTCCATATCCAAACTGCACTTTGGGCAAGGTCTTTCTCGGGGAATATACAGTTGGTAACCTTCTATCCTCAACTTCAGAATCAGAACTTTCATATGAACTTGACCTTGACCTTCTAGCATCATAGGTTCTCTCCCTTTGCTTTCTGTCCCTGCATCTCCTCTCTCTGGATCCTGAGACGTTACTACGTGTAGGTTTTCTAGAATCACCCTGAAGGGAACTGGATCTCAGTCTTTTTCTACGTCTACTGTGGGTATCATCACTTTCCCGGGAGCTAGAGCTTTCACTGAAGGAGTCACTATACCTCTTGCCATTCTCACTTGAACTTGAACTTCCTGTTGTATACTCTCGTTCATGTCTGTGACTGTCTTCACTAGAGGTGGAGGTTTCAAATGTTTTCTCACGTTCTCTACCATATCCATCCTCACTCTCGCTTGAGCTTTCAAGCCTTAGCTTTCGCTCTCCAGGGTATCTTTCTTCCCTTTCACATGAGCTAGAACTGTCAATGCTTTTCTTACTTTCTCCGGTACATTTTTCTTTCCTTTCACTTGAGCTAGAAGTTTCTTCTGGTTTTACTCGGTCTCCAATAGATTTGTCATCTCTTTCTCTTGAGCTGGAACTTTCAACTCTTTTCAGTCTGTATTGACGATATCTGTATTTTCTCTCTGCTGAGCTACAACGTTCCACTGTCTTCTCTTGCTCACCACATCTGTCCTCTTGTTCTCTTGAGATGAAAGTTTCAACTGTTTGCAATCTGTCTCCATGATATTTATCTTGTAAGCCAAAACTGTCAAACAGTTTTTCTCGTGCTCTATATTTGTCTTCTCTCTCTCTTGAACTGGAACTTCCCATTGTTTCTTCCCGTCCAAGATAATTTTCTTCCCAATCTTGTGAGTCAAAAGTTTCAAAAGTCTCCTCTCCATCTCCACAATATTGGTCTTCTCGTTCTTTTGAGCTGGAATTTTCATCTCCCTTCTTTCGGTCTCTTAAATATTTGTCTTCTCGTTCTCTTGGGCTGGAACTTAAATCTCTTTTCTCCCATTCTCTAAGATAATTGTCTTCCCATTCCTGTATGTCATAACTTTCAACTGTTTTCTCTCGTTCTTCATATCTATTTTCTATCTCTCTTGAGGCAAAACTGTCAAATGTTTTCTCACGGTTTCTATGACATCTATCTTCTCTTTCTCTTGAGCCTGAACTGTCAACAGTGTTTTCTCGTTCTACACGATATCTCAAAATGTCCCCCCTTTCTCGTGAGCTGGAGGATGCTGCAGCTGTCTCTCGTTCTCGATACCTGTCACCCCGCTCTCTTGACGTTGGCCTATTTTGTGAACCAACTCTGTTTTGAACCTCAAAATCAGACTTATCTGGGGAGCTAGATATGGCTGCAGTCCTTTGTTCAATCCATTTGCCTAATAAACTTGCTTCTCTTTCTTTACTGGAATATTCTGCTCTGTGATAACCTATTTTCCTTTGCCTTTGCACATCTCTTGTATGTCCAGTGCCACTTTCTTCCGACAGGGAACGACCTAGCTGTTGAACCCATTCTTGGTCTCTTTCCAATGAACTAGGCCTCCGATGATATGCCACTGCATCTCTCCTTGATATGTGTCCTCGCATTGATATGCCTGTGTCTCTAGGCAGGAGTACTCTCCTGTCCATGCCATACCTCTGTTTGGACATTTCAATGTGGAGTTCATGACAACTTCGCCTGGATGGTCTTTCTTTACCGCCCTCTCCATCTTTCACCCTGTGTCTACTCCTGCTTCCTACTTCTACACGGACATTGGATGAATTATTCCTGTTATCATCACTTTCTTCAGAAGAAATGTCACTTAATTCCAGATCAATTCCTCCGACATTCTCGGGTTCAGATTCCTTAAGGCGTGTCTTGTCTGAACCCTCATTCTTTTTCTCATCAGTTGGTCCTCTCCCCACAACCAACATGACGTCATCTTGGGATGAGTCTTGAGCCTTTAGCCGAGGTGGACGTCTTCCCAGTTCTGACCTTTCTGACTTGCTTTGCAGCTGACTCTTTCTGATTCCAGTGTTCAATACATTTCTTCTCCTGCTCCCAGAAGTCTTCCTTGAATTAGAATCAACAGCAGTCATTCCTTCCTCGGGAATCCAACTTGCTTGCTGCCTTCTTCCTTTGTCAACCTGACGAGCCCTGTCTCTTGAATCATCTCGCCTCTCAGAAAGTCTATAACTTCCATATGTCCTTTCCTTCCCTCTAAAGTCTGGACGAAATCCCTTCCCCCTTGATCTGAAACCAGATGAACTTTCCCTAAAAGTATTTCCATAGGTACCTCTGCCCCGGAATCCTCTTCCTCTGCTTTTCTGGATACGTCCCTGAAATCCTCTGTTAAAGCCAGGCCTTGTTGTAATCCGTCCACGACGATCAGGGTCATTTAAGGACTGTCTCTGCATTCTTTCATTCAGCACAGTCATCTCACTGTTCCCTGACCTGAACTGATTATCTGGAGGCTTTGTATACACCTGTCTATGCACAGAATCACATTTATCAATATTTAACAAAACAGAAACCTGCTCTACTGAATCATAAAACGTGGAAGTCAAATTATCATCATCTTCATTCCGGTCAATCCTTCTTCTTCTCCGAACACCCTCTTTGTCACATGTCCTAACCAAAACATTTTGACCTCTTGATGATCTTCTGTTAAACCCTCTGAAAGGAGGTCTTCCTCTGTACATGCCTCTCTCTCCACCCCTAAAAGCTCCTCTGCCCCGGAATGGCCGAAAACCTCTGTCACCTCCTCCTCCTCCTCCACCTCCTCCTCCTCCTCCTCCTCCTCTCCCTCTCTCCATGGCCCAGGATCTATACTAGGTACATCCACAAGCTTAGGTCGGAGCATACATAGAAGCACATGATACAACAGCAATTCCCCAACCCAGTGTGTTAGGCAGGTATTAGCAGACGGATACGTCAGAGGTCACAGGCAGAATTCCTTACCAAGAAACAAAACTTCTTCTTCTGTGTCGCTGTGTGGTTTCTGCTTGCTTGGACTGGCTACTGATTTGGTCTCTGCAAGTAGAGCATGCACAGCATTCAAGGATAAAACAAGGCAGTACTTTAGTGTCTAATGGTCTAGTGCAGATCGTTAATGTCTCAGGCTTTGTCTAGTGCAGATCGTGAATGTCTCAGGCTTTGTCTAGTGCAGATCGTGAAAGTCTCGGGCTTTGTCTAGTGCAGATCGTGAATGTCTCGAGCTTTGTCTAGTCAAATCGTGAAAGTCTCAGAAATGTCTAGAGCAAATCGTGAATGTCTCGTGCATCTCGGGCTTTGTCTAGAGCAGATAGTAAATGTCTCGTGCATATCTCGGAAGTCTAGTGCTTTATCTAGAGCAGATTGTGAATGTGTAGAGCAGATCTTGAATGTCTACTGCAGAAGTGTCTGAGTGAATTAAGTGAATGAATGTTGTTTAATGCTGCCGTCAGCAATATTCCATCAATATCATCACAGTCTGTGCCACTAGCCACTATTCTAAAGCCCAAGACTAGTGAACGACTGGTGGTCTAGTTAGTCCAGCTAATTAAAATCAACAAACAACACTAATATCTACAGAAAATCATGCTAAGATCCAAGTTTGGGCTAGTATACTCAAATCTTTTTGACACAGTGACCTGACATTATCTTAGTTTGGACAAGAAAACACTGATCATGACAACTGACATGCAATATCAGCCAAGTCACCATGTCTTACCACCCAATAATCTTCAGACATCTCTTACAAAAGCAGGGGGCGCTACTCTTCCCCGGACTCCCCACGCGGCATACAGTCTGACACAGCAGGTCTCAACAATAGGCTGGCATCTTCTTCAGCCGTACAGACACTTCTACAGACACTTCTACAGACACATGCTTTCCTTTGTCTGTTTGTTATTTTAGGCCGCACTCAGCAATGTTCCAGCTATATGACAGCAGTCTGTAAATAATCGAGTCTGGACCAGACAATCCAGTGATTAACATCATGAGCATCAATCTATGCAATCGGGATACGATGACATGCATGAACCAAGTCAGCGAGCCTGACCACCTGATCCCGTAAGTCGCCTCTGACGTCAAGCATAGTCACCTTTTGTGGCAAGCATGGGTTGCTGAAGACCTTTTCTACCCCGGATCTTCACGGGTCAGGAATCTAAACGATGACATGCATCAACCAGGTGAGCGAGCCTGACCACCCGATCCTGTTAGTCGCCTCTTACGGGTGGCTGATGACCGGACAACCCCCCATGCAGTAGTTCAGTACAGTGCTATTTTGCAAGGATAGAAACTAATCCGCAGTTCTGGGATTTTTTTATTTTCTACCAAATTGAATTGGGATAACAATATTGAAAAAATAACAAATATACACACTTAATCTATCCTTGAAGGTTCTACTTAACACTGCAAACATTGCTTATTAAGGAAATATCAACCGCAACCTTTATAAGACATTATCCTACCCTATGTTACAAAGTCAGTGAGTATTGTTTTACGCCGCTGTAAGCAATGTTCTAGCAATATCACGGCAGGGCACACCACAATTGGCCTTTACACATTGTACCCATGTGGGGAATCAAACCAAGGTAATTGGCGTGACAAGCGAACACTTTAACCACTAGACTACTCAACCTCTCCTATGTAACAGAATCGAAGAATGTATACAGAAAGCAATCTCCACTAAGTATCTCATCCAATGTTCCATACTGAAGGGTGGAACAAAACAATGAGACCCCACCACCCAGTGAAGTTGGTTGGTTGTTTAACGCCGCACTCAGCAATATTCCAGCTATATGACGGCAGTCTGTAAAATAATCAAGTCTGGACTAGACAATCCAGTGATTAACATCATGAGCATCGATCCACGCAATTGGGATGGATGACATGCATCAACCAAGTCAGCGAGCCTGACCACCCGATCCCATCAGTCGCCTTTTACGACAAGCATAGTCACTTTTTACGACAAGCCTGGGTTGCTGAAGACCTATTCTTCCCAGGAATCTTCACGGGTCAACTTCTCATTATGCGATGAGTTACCATGGATACTATTGTGCACCTCGGGACTCAGTACGTTTTTTCTGCGTCCATTCTCTACATTTGTGTGTCGCGTAAAGCCCTGGTCCTCACAAACCAAGAGTCATAAGTGAATCTCAATCTGACCCCCGACCAACAGATAATGGCAGGAGTGACTGTAGGAGCTGTTTTCACAATTGTGGTTGTATTGGAATAGCAGCCCACACAATAGTACTGGAATAGTATTCAACCACATTTTAGGTTCAATAATGTCATATAATCCATTTTCCTCCCTCTTGCTACTAAAACTAAAGGGAAGTAACGCTAATGTTTTCTGTTGCATAATTTGTTTTATTTATAACTAAAGACAACTGTTGAAACTATTGATTGTTATCTATACTATCGACAATACCATTGGCATGTTTAACTTCCTATCTATAATGTACAATCATAGGGCACACAATTGCCATACATCGAAACATTGTTACACCCCAAGACACTGGTCTGCTGCTGCACCTTAGTCCACTGGGTCACCAGTGGCCTCTGTTGACTGCGAAATAAGCAGTGACAGAAATTGGCACTAGTCCTACAGTCCTTGCCAAACTGCCCATTAGTTAAGGTATCATAAGGACTAGTAGAAATTTGCCATTTATAAGGGTTTTGCTATATGTTACCATTATACAGACTAGTGGACTAAACATGTTAGTTTCTAACGCTGAATAAGGCCAAAATCAATGTTTTAGGTCTAACCGACTGTCTCTTGATTGGTTGACAATAGAATGGGTGGGGCTCGAGTTGCATTACTGCACCGAAAGATGCTCATGAAATTAATTTACTGACAGTTATATTTGGTAAAACACGCGAATTTTTTTTTGAAAAACTATAGATTCCAATTGAAAAGCACATTGTGCCTAGTAAGGGTTTCTTTTCATCCCTAAATTCTTATCCTTACTTATCTTAAACAGTTGCTGATTGGTGCTTCTAAAGACAGCGTGCAATGACCATACACCTTTCTCACAATGCTAGGTTCTGCAACAATGGCTTCCAGGAGAGGATGCCGCACACAAACGTGTAGAAATTACAGATATTGTTAATTTACAGATTTTCGAGTAAAAACACTTTAATGTAAAAAACAAGAAGGTACAAAAATTGAATACCCACTAAAAACCAACCCATGGCTAAGAGTTCCTTAGAGTTCTAGAGTTCTGATTATCCAGACATACGACAGAGAGAAATATAAGCCGTGGGCTGCAGATGTAGAGACTAGACAGTAGATCAAAGGACTTTCGTTGACATGGGTGTGACAATGATTCATCAAGGAATTTCAATTCAGTATGCCAAGTGTCCATGGTGTGCAATAAGCAGAATCCTTTTTCAAAATGTGAGGTGAGGGGAGGTGAAATTGGGTTTAACGTCGCGTCCAAGATTATTGCACTTATATAGCGACGTGCATGCACGTGTATGTGTGTGTGTGGCTGCTTGTACTAGTCCGGACTGATGCCGATTTATAGTGCTAGCTCACTGAGATACCATGCCGCAGTTTAACATGAATACCCCACTCAGACACAGTATACTGACTCCGAGCCGACCAGTCCTTGTTTTAGCCCCTTAATGCCGAGCGCCAGACAGGGTAACAACAAGTACAATCTTTTAACGTCTTTTTGTATGACGCGGCCCAGGATCGAACCCTGGACCTTCCGCTCTCCGGGCGGACGCTCTACCACAAGACCACGGAGGCGGTCTTTTCAAAATGTGAAGTCCTTATGTTCCCAAATAAATTTAATAAGTAACTAGAATCCACCTACCTGAAATACCCGCAGCCTTAAAGAATTTTGATATGCACTGCAACCTGGAAGAAAAATACATGACCTAAAGATGTGATAGAAACAATGTGAACCAAAAGGTTTTATAGGTCTTAAATCAAACAGAGAGGCTTATGATGTAGTTGGTATTACATGCTGAATAAACGGACATGGATGAGTCTCTCATCGCAGTCTTTAGCCAATAGTCAAAGCCCGGTCTAGCAAAATTCTGCACGGTCTAATAAGCACACAATAACATTAAATATTACTGAAAATCACGCTAAGATCCAAGGCTGGCTCGTAGTATCAAAACTTATTGACAGAGACTGTCTCCCAGTGTTCAGGTGTCACTGGACGAAGTTACCCGGTCCTGGCCTCCTTCAGTTGGTGTTGTATTCAACTCAAGCGACACCTGGTGTTCAAAATTCTACTTTTTTCCCTTAACCTGCAATCCTTTTTATCCAGGGGAGGTAACTTACTTTTGGTCCTGATCAAGATTTTATTTGTTTCAATTAGTGGACAAAAGCCTCTTTAATCATTTATCACTCTTAAGATGCATTCTAAAAGTACTGTGTACAATTTGTAATTGCATCTTAAGAAGATTTATGTGAAGAATTGTTTAACTTAGATCTGATCTGAACCCTGTGCCAATGAAAGTGATCATTCATCAACATGATCTGTGGGAAACTGACACACGCTTCGTCATAACAATGGAGTCTTTGTGAACAAAAAATGTTTGTAAAGACAAAAAGTGCCCATTTTGCATTCTTCCCAAGGACTTCCATAGTGTCATGATTGAAGATGTTAAGAACTTATTCAACACATTCCAGCACTTTCAAAGAACAGGTACACTAGTTCAGACACATCAGAACATAACATTCTGTGACTTTAGCCATTAGTCTCAAGCCCAGCATAAGACATTGGCACTAGTCCTGTAGCCCTTGCCAAACTGC